AACTTTGCCCTCCCTCCTGCAGCTCACACTCACTTGTTATTTTGTACTTGTAAGCTCAGTATTTCTTGCTCTGTCGTATACTTTCACCTACACCCCTTCTTCACAGCATGTTTCTACTTCAATTGTGTGCATTTCAGGCAAGGAACTTGTCTTTTCCTCTGGCTCCTGAGGTAGTTTTCAGGCTGTCATATGCTATAAAGTAATAGCATGATGAGAATTGCTCTAGTTCTTGGGACTGGTGTGATCTTATCTCCCTCTGTAATTATTGTCCTGTGGGGATCATATCTGTTGAGCAGATGTTCAGCCATTACTACTCAAACTTTCTTCAACTGAATTCCTCATAGCCAGCAAGGATAACAAAATACCCACTGAAATTAGCACGTGGTTTGTGGATTTCTAACTGAGCTGTGGTCTCTCCTTTGCTGAATTTCTCTGCGAATGCCCACTGGAAAGGCCTCAAATGTAGCAAGTGATGGACAATTTTTCTAGCTCTGAAATGGTCTGTCTGAATCTTTCACAGGAAATGTAGCTTTTTCAGCTGGACTAGAAGATCCCATCTGCTTATTTGGCTCAGTTTTCTACAGCTCCCATGACCCTTCTTCTGTCTAAACAGCTGAAACTTCAGAAATGGTAATTAGAATGAAAACTACTTTTACACTCTCAAGTGTTCACGCCAGAGCTTGTAATGCTCTAAAATGCAAGCCAGCTTTGAAGGTTGCTCATAGAAAATTCAATCCCCCATATAAAAGTAAATTGCAAAATATCGCTGCCCCTCGTTGAGAGCTCTGGTAAGAAATATTCCAGCAAATAAAATCTTTTTTCATAGCTGAACAGACATAAAAAAAAATATTTAGCCATATTTAAATGACAGAGCACTGCCAAAACAGCTCTTCCTTGTGTATCTAGGAAAAGAATATTGGAACTTCATGTAAGTTTTGAAAGACAGGCATTGTTTGGTAAGGTTTGAAACGTATACAAGCAACTACAGGGCAATATGAGGAAAATAAGGGGATGAAGGCACGTACTCTACAGCTATACTTCAAACGTGGTGATGTGACAATGAAGTAGAAAATGAAGGAAGCTCATGAAATTACCTAAACAAAGCATCTAAGCCCAGTAACTGGAGGAATCCATGTTGTACCCATGTACACATATCACCCACTCATGGACCTTCATCCCAATCATCCAAAATGGGAACAGGGTAAGTCATTGGTACTGTTTGTGTGAGAGCTCTGTGTGTCTGTCTGTTCATCTGTGCACATATATATATATATGTTCCTCATATGTGTTTGTAAGTGCCTCCTAGGAATACACGGCATCCTCGCTACAGGTTGGGCTTGGGTGCATGGAGCTGCAGCGGCCTTGTCTCTGTACTGGAGTCAGCTGCGTCTCCTGCTGGATTCGGCCACTCCACCCTAACAGCTACTGGAGGGGCACGAGGCAGAAACGATTCAAGGTGGCAAGAGGGCCATACACAAACATTCAGACGCATTTGCTCTGCACTGAAGACCTCATATTCTCACACCTCACAGCAATCAGCCCTCTAGAAGTCATCAGAATCACTGTCCTACGTTTCTGTGGGAAGAAACGAAGAAGTTAAACTGCAAGAGTACTTTTAAGGAGTCCTTAACTAAATTCCTGAGGAAAAAAAGACATAGTTACTCTGACAGAAACTTGATGTAGAGGAACCCCGGAGAGGAATGTATCTGTCAGGTTTATTTCTGCACTGCACTGCTGAGCTCTCCAAAGGAGCATTCAAGAGGAAAAGAGTTCCAGATGATTATTTGTAATAGTCTTATCAGAGAAAAATGCAGCACTTATGTATATAATATTCAAGGCCATGACACCTGTCAATTTTCAGAATCCTTTTCTTAAATTTCCATTATGGTTTTTCATTGAAGTAGACCCCAACCATGAGTTATACTGATGGCTTTAGCTCAAAGAGGAACTGTTTTTCTCTGGCAGGTGAGATACCTATTTTCATTTAGTTTGTTTATTTTACACCAATTGTTTATTTTACACTAATAATTCACAAGCCCTGATTCTATAAAAAGCTTACCTGTACCTTTAATATTAAAAATATACGTAATATCACAGCAGTAAATTTCATGCTGGTATCAACAGAATGACAAAAGAATAAAGGCTTCTCAAATTCTAATCTGAGTGCTAAAGAAACCATGTCTTAAAGAATTAAATCTTATTCAATATCAAAACTTCTTCTCATTGAGATGAAACAGAATTTCACTTAAGTCATTCTTATCATCCCCTTAGCAGTTATGAAGAAAGAAAAAACCTATATAAACACATGTTGGGAACTACATAAGAAGGAAAGTGGGATCCACTACAACAAGCTGTAAATCATCTAGAGCTGTGGTCAAGGGAATTGAAAGAGTCCAGAATGCCAGTTAATACTTTTTTCTCTTCACAAAGTCAAGGTCCGCTTCAGTTAGCCACAAATACCCTTTTCTAGAAAGACACGATTCATAAGGGATTATCAGCAGAGGTGACCTTTAGCGTCACCTGAAGTATACTTTAAACACGTTAGGTAAAGTACTTGCAGTAAGATAACAGAAATACCAAATTGTTAACCACTCATGTGAATTAACTACTCCGGAAAGATATTTTGCAGTGATATTTTACAAATATTGCTGCTTTTCTTCTACTGAAAGAAAACACATTTAAAAAAATAAGAGTAAGAATACATATTTCAAAATAAATTCCAAACTGGTTTGCTCTCTGCAATATTTCACTAATTCACATGAGGGACAGAGGTAAGATACTAGTATGATAGCAAACATTTCCCCAGTTTGTCTTTTGTACATATTATGTGATTTTTTTTTCAGTTTGAGATTAACTTCCTGCTTGAATGCAGAGAATTAAAACCAGAGAAAATAAAGAAACTGTTTAAGAAAAATAAAGCAGTTACATTACTTAAAGGGATCATATGAAAAATAATGGGTTTAATCCACACCATGACAGAGTAGTTTTCCTACAGTTTTTTACAGTAGTTTCCTACAGTAGTTTTCCTAGTTTTTGGATTTGGCTCAAAGCAGCTGTCCACGTTCAGAGGCTGGAAAAGGGCAAATTGTTTGGATTTGCTAGAACAGGGAGTCGAGAGTCGCCCATGCAGAGAACCAGGGAGACTGATGCTGGCCGGAGGAGGGACCACTTCTCCCGTCTGAAAGTGGTCTGCACAACAGAGGAAGGCTGGTGAGGCTGGAACAGGTACAGCCCTTAGGCCTTACGAGGAATGAACGCGTGAGGTGTTGCTAAGACAACTGTGACTTTCCATCAGTGTGAGATATCACAGACTCCTGAAGGGAATGGCAGAAGAAACCAGCATCCAGCTCCTTTTAACCCTGCTGAAGGACTCAAAACTGATGTCCAGAAGCTGCCTCTGACCTTGCCGAGTTACAGAACAGGACACAGGGAAAGCATAGCCCTTGACAAAAAGGGATGCGCTTTTGATGAGAGATTTGAGCTCAGTGCAGATATTAATCTCTTTTGTACTGGAAAACCTAAAGGACATCTGAATCAAATAATCACAAAATCGTTAAGATTGGAAGGGACTTCTAGAGATCATCTAGTCCAACCCCCTGCTCCAGCAGGGACACCTAGAGCACGTGGCACAGGGTGGCATCCAAGCGGGTTTGGAAGATCTCCAGAGAAGGAGACTCCATAGCCTCTCTGGGCAGCCTGTTCCAGGGCTCTGTCACCCTCACTGTTAAGACATTTTTCCTTAAGTTCCTGTGGAACTTTTGGTGCTTCAGTTTGTGGCTGTTTCCTCTAGGCCTATCGGTGGCTACCACTGAAAAAAGACCGGCCCCATCCTCCTCACTCCCTCCCTTAAGGTATTTATAGACACTGATCAGGTGCCCTCTCAGCCTTCTCCTCTTCAGGCCGAACAGGCCCTGAACAGGCCCATATTTATTAAAAAAAATATTTAATTTAAGCCGCATTTGAACACAGGGAACAATACACCTCTGTGTATAGCTAATATATAGCATCCAGAATGATGATTTTTCTTCCACTAGTTACAGAAATTAAAACAAGAAAAAGGATGCCTATATGTTCACAAATCCAGAGGCAAAAACTGAACTCAGGGAATGCTGGTGTCCCTGACTGAGCAGAGACAAGCAGGTAACTGCAGAGCCCTCTTGATCCAGAAAGCTGCTGTGTTACCAATTCCTGACAACCTAAAAGCATTTACCAGCATGGACAGCAAGCTCAGCTCCTGAACCTTTACAAGGGTAAACAAATAAACAAATTAAATGGGACTTAATCCTACACGTAAACAAATCCTGCAGAATTAAGAGGATATGGCTGGTGTTAAGGTGCACTTCTGGTTCTCTTTTCAAGGTCAGGCTGCACCTCAGATGAAGCTACAAGTGCATCTTGACTCTCTGCAGACCCATGTATTCTTATAGAAATACTCTGTACTATTTAATAAACGTGACACTGCTATAGCCAGAAGGCAGTCTGCTCAAAAAGCATTGCCCAAATAATACAAAACACTTCACAGACAAGAGCAACAACATAGGAATCCATAACCGGGTGAACGTTTGAATTAGAAACACTTATTTTTGTTTGCAATTACATTCTAGAAAAAAGTTATATTATTCTATTTCCCTTCCTATGGATAAGAAAGTAAGAGTTAGTCTTTGCTTGAGCCTCTGTCCAAGCTATGTGCCATCGTATCGTGTATTTTACTGAACCACTAGGTAATGTTGGGCATCATGACTTATCTCCTTAAAATTAGGAAAAATCGTATTTATAGAATGGATACAACGTAAGTCTGATAACTGATCCTAATTAGGATTCATAATTGTTTGTCATTCTTCAAATCTTTTGCTGAGTTTTTTTGTAGCATATCTTTAGGAATGGGCCTATGCAATAAAATATACATAGCCAAGAAACAATTATTATTGCTTTTACCTTTTGGGCACACTTTTCTACTTAGATACGCACAAATGATCTGTATATTATATTATCTCGGGAAGATGAAGGTCAGTCAAGGAGCAAACCGATAAATCTAAGTTCACAGAATCTGCCTGTATTTTAACTAAAAGGGAGCATGATCTTAAAAGCAGCCTGCAAAAAAAAATCCATCCTAGCTAATGTAATTTCAAAATTATTTGCCTTCCCTAGATACAGATGATCTAAAATAATTTAAATTATGTTCAAAAGGCAAGCCTACATGCCCTTTTTTGGTCAGGACAGACAAGACGGGGTGTTTAAGAAAATGTTTTTTGCTGGGTTACAATTAGATATAGGTTAAAGAGGAGTAGTAGGCATAATTTGTTGCTCATTATGGTGTTGGGCATTTTCAGAGGAGACAAGGGTATATGACATTAAAATAATTACATCAATTTTGGTAAAGTTACAGGTCACCTGACTCTGGCTTAGTCGAGTGCTAGGGTTGGCTAAGAACTTAGGAAAAGATGAGTTTATGATTTGTATATACTGCCCACTTAGAAAAACAACCATAAAGCCTGTGTCTGTGGATTCTAGTAGCTTTATTTGTGGTTTTTTGTTTGTCTTTATAACGAACCCAGATTATGTTAAAGGTTCTGTTAAATGTGTCTAAGACTTCCATTTTTCGGTATAGACAATGTATAATACAATCCAAGACAATAGGTTTAACACATCTAGTATTTATATCAGTTTTAGCACAGTCCAAGTTCAGCAGAGCTGCTCTTCAATTGCACTAGAACAAAATGAAGAGGGCATTACAACCACAGTGCTCAAGAATGGAGCTAATTTCCCAGTACCTCCCACTGCCCATGTTTGATATTTACTGTAAGGTATATTCCGTGATGAGTTTCATCCCATTAACATTAACGCTAATCCAAAATCTCTTAATAGAAGTCAATAGAGTCATTTTGGCTTTTTCCTTGTGGGAGAGAAGCACTTGAGGCCAGGATCTACAGAACCCCATCACAGCAAATGGTGGTGCTGAATACTCACTTTACATAGATGTAAGGACATGGCAGAATCACATTCAATCAACCACCGTAAGGAAGTCATGGTGCTGCACTACTGATTTGCAAAAAAAAAGAAAAAAAAATCCCAGTGTAGGTCAAACCACCCAAACAACAAAGGCAGAAAGCTGCCCACAAGCCCAACACAAGAAAAGGAGTAGGAACCTGTATGGAGATTTATTTGCAGACACTCTGAAAACTCAGACAATCAATGCTACAAATGACAGACAAAATCCATCTGTTCCAAAATGACTCATCAACACATACACACACTCTAACAATGAGACTAAAACAAGCTTTAAATCCTAAAAACGATGTGGAGAGCTCCACAAGACAGGGCTGTTAGGCTTGTTTTCCCACCATTATTTTGCTGGTATACTTTGCATTGCTCAAAACCAGAAAAATATTCTTTGATTTAGAAATGAGGTGACCCTGAGATACTTTAATTCTTTTTTGCAATTTGGTCTTAAAGCATCAGCATCTACATTCCTACAACCAAGATTCTCAGCAATGACTTATGAAACTGGGGAAGAGCAAAGACACCTATATTACTTATCAGGCATAGTATAATTCTCAAAAATTGAAAATCCTGTAAAAATTCTCCTCGGGGCATTGTTTTCAGAAATCTCATTATATTTTTACGCCATCTATTTGTGTTCACGGGAGTGATTTATAATGTGTGAAGGCTTGGTGCTGAGTGCACCACAGAGCTACACTTTGATTTGCTCTAGGTCACATAGGAGGTGAAGTTGTGAAGTGAACATGGGTTCCAACCCCATGCCGTGACCACGCAATACCCATCCCACTTCCACCATTAGCCAAGTACAAGAAAGGAAAAACATCAATACTCTGGAGAATGTGTAAGCAGAATTCAAAACACAATTTTCTAACTATGCCAGAGAGCTAATACTATACAAGCTTTGCAGAGTGCAGAGGATTTATCAAGAAAAATAAAGGAATAAACAGGAAAGAGCTTCCTACACTCTCTTCCCCTCAGTAACACTCACATGAAGGATGCTCTTGATCTTAGTCCATTATACAAACATGCATTCCCATCACTGCACCAATTTTAGTGCATTTTTAATACCCGGGAGAAGTGTATAAACCAGTTCTGCATTACTTATTGGGCATTTTCTCAGATTCGTGTATTTTTAATTAATACATCCAGACTTAATCCCCTCAAATCTTTTGTGGCCTTCTGCACTTTAGTGGCCTGCGCTGAGCAGGAGTTGGTATGAAGCAGTGGAAACACCACAGAGCAGGGGATACTCATTCCTCAGGAGGAGCTGCAGGCCCCTCACCACGGACCTTCAGTGACAACTCCAGCCAATGCTCCTCCTTCTCCCCACGGCCAAACCCTGGCTATACCCTGTCCCAGGTGGAGTTGCCCACAGGAAAATGCCCTTCTGCTCCTCTTGTGTCAAGGATAAAAGACCTCCCATCCCCTTCGCAGCTCTAAGCTCTTCCCTGTTCTTTTTTTCCTTCTGCTCTTCCTAAATGTCTGTAAACCCTTTTCTGAACATAGTACTTGTGTTAGAAAAGTTCTGTTAGACCATAGGGACAGTGTTTAGACTCAACATGCCCATCCTGCCCCGATGATAACACTTGGCCGAAGGACATGCAGGGCTTCAAGACATTGAGCAGACAAGAGGTCTCCATCTATAATAACCACATTGCCCATATCCTCCCACCAGGAAAAAGGCTTGTCTTTTTGTCACAGATTAGCGGCTAATCTGGAATTCAGATTTGAGATACCTCACATCCCCTACATCACAAGTAAATCGTAAATCTTGCTCCAACACATTCCATGTACAAAGGAGGCAAATCTACCATGGTAAAGCACTGAGGGCTTCAAGACATTGAGCAGACAAGGGGTCTCCATCTATAATAACCACATTGCCCATATCCTCCCATCAGGAAAAAGGCTTGTCTTTTTGTCACAGATTAGTGGCTAATCTGGAATTCGGATTTGAGATACCTCACATCCCCTACATCATAAGTTAATCATAAATCTTGCTCCAACACATTCACATGTACAAAGGAGGCACATCTACCATAGTAAAACATGCACTACATGCTACAGTAACTTTCACAAGTATGGGCCAGATTTTAAGACGGGCAACACCTAGTTGGCCTAAATGTGCCAGCACCTGAACTGCACTTTTTAATTAAAGTGACCTGCCAGCTTGTTTTTTGTTGTTGTTACTGTTGTTGTTTTGCGGTCAGGGTCTGAGACTGAAGAAGAAACTAAAGCTCTGTCACAGCTAAAGCCCTGTTAAGCACGTTTTGAACATGGGACGTTGGGCAAAAGCATTGGCACTCGCATAGGGCTGCAGAGCAGCACGCCAGGCTCCTAAGCAGACCCACGAGCACCGCGTTTTTGCATTTCTGAGTGTCCAACATTTCCGTGAGACACAGACACGCGCAGGGACCCCGCGCGACGCAGAGCAACGAGCGCCCCAGCAGCGGCCGCCCGCCCCAACGGCGGGGGGCGCGGGGGAAG